GGTGACAATGAAAACCACCTAAAATGAGCAATCTGGTTTTAAGGTGCCATAAACCCACCTCACACCTTTCACCATAGCAAAAGGAGCTTGGTTAAAAATGGGTGACAATATGTGAAATTGCCCAGTTTTTTCCTTTAGCCCCTTCCCCATTCCCCCTATTACTAACCTATGTCTAATCTAATTAAATTCATCATCTTGTTATATACTGTCCACTATGAAAATGTATAACATCACAAGTGAAATGGTGCCTCAAAGCTGCAGCTTCATTGGAAGCCAACTTTTATTGAAAACAAGTTTATTTTACCTGGCATTTTAATTAAACATATTTTAATCACAGTAGATTCAAATACAAAAGATTCATTAAAAATGACTATTACTTTACTTATCTAGTTATCTGAAATAATTGGCAAGGTTTTTAACACAGTATTCCACTATTCTTACACTATGCTTACATACTGTATATAGACACATACTATCAACATGATGTTTGTCTGTCAGGGCCTGAAATAACATTCCCAAAATTCCCGATCATGGTGATTGATCATGGTGATTGATCATGGTGATTGATCATGGTGATCGGCAGTCATGACTTTCCCTGCTTTTTCAGGTTGAAAACCCTGCTTTTCCGCTGATCATAAGCAATTTCTTGCTGATTATTGATTGGTAATCAGTTGTTATTTCAAGCCCTGGTCTGTTGAAAAATTTAACTGGTTCAAGATGCAATGGACCGGTCTCAAGCCAATGAGATCAGACCGATATTTGGCATCAGCTTTTGTCTACAAAGCCCGAATGTTTGGGGTGGGGGAAGATTATGGGAATTAAGGTGGTGATCTTGAAAGGCTAAGTTTGGTTGATGATGAAGGAAGTTTTTTCTCATGCCCCAGGAAGTTTTTTTCTCATGTCAGTGTTGTGTACAAGAGTGAGGTTATTGTCATTGGAGGCAAGAGTGGTCTTTTTGCAAGCCGATATATTTAACTTTAACCTCATGCATGTTCCAGAAAATTTATTAATAAAGTTTCCTACAGTATGTTAGGATAATATCCTGGTGAATTTGCATCATGACCAAGCCAAGTCATTTAATCTAATTAGTCTTCAACCATAGTGCTTCTTCGCTTATACTGTATAAAAAGTGACATACTGTATAGACCTTTCACACTTGCACTGTAAACATTTAAACTATCAAGGTCAAATTTATAGGTCATTGGTACCTGTCAATGCTAATAATAGGAAACAGAGCTATACAGCCAATTGCCAGTTGCATTAGATCTAAAAATATAACCAAAGATTATATTATTATCTTTATAAAGTACATTTGTAGAGCTATTATCAGTCAATCAATACTCTATAAAGCATGTACACAATAAATATTTTTTATCCAACATGATCAAATATTTGAGATCAAATTTCTGCCACTTGAGGTGTTTTAATTTTATACACATATAAATGAATATGTATGCAGTATATGAAACTTTGGACCTATAACCTCGCACAATTATGCAAATCGTACGTTCAATTCAACGTTACGATTTATTGTTCAAAATTCAAACCACTAATTTACCTTAATGCCATACACCTCTTATTAATCTCTTGAAAATATAGACGACGAGAAATCAACACATCATAGTTTCGGCCAAGACAATTTTCTTGCATCCATCGAATTTATCAGCTTGAAATATTCTCCATAGAACACCAGAAAGCATCCCTTATCGTAACAGATAACGATATAACCCTTTCGAAATCTTTATTTCGAAAATAGTTCAACAAATATACTAAGATTAAGCGAAATAATTCGCTTGTAAAATTGTACTGAGCTGCAACAGAGCTACCAAGTGCACAATGCTTCCAAATTGAAGATTAGAAGGCCAATCAGAGGAGATGTTCTTTAACTCTTTTGCGCAAATTGTCCAATCAGAAGCTGCTATCTATTTGCAGGATTAGTCAAAATAGTCAAAATTGCGCAATCGTTAGTCAAAATAGGTCTGACCAATCAACATGCCTGTAATGTGTAATCTGAACAAATTTGACCAATCAAATCACATGAACTAAAATGCGGAATAGTCAATTTTCATTTCAATACCGCTTATTTGACTTATTGTTTGACTAATCAATCGCTGGCTCAATGTGCAAAAACTGATCGAAGTTTATATGCTGGAGTGTGATGTAGTTTTGATTGCATGATCAGAAATGAAGAGAAGCGTTTGCGCTGGGAAAAAAATTCAAAAACATTAGTCCAAATTTTTTTTATATGCCCTTTTTTTACGTTAGTCGCGTGACTAATCTGACTACCCCTAGATCCGCCCCTGGGTCCAGCTAACCAAGGTCGCATGACTGCAAATCCTCATGCTCATTTGATCCACTAGTCACAGTATCATAGTCTCATAGACATATAGTTTGTTTATTTTGAAAGTCATATACTTGGCGAAATAATTACTACAATATAGACTAAGACCAAGTAGATTCAAGGCCGACTTACACTACATAACTTTTGCCTAAAACTGGTGCATGCAGCCTGCTTACAACTTGAGTTGTACTCTGTAAATCAAGTACACAACTCACGACAACGCAGGTGAGTTATGTGCTTGATTTACACAGTACAACTCAAGTTGTAAGCAGGTTGCATGCGACAGTTTTAGGCAAAAGTTGTGTTGTGTAAATCGGCCTTTACATTGCCATTGGCACCAGAGCAAAAGTCTCCGGATTCCTTGTTTTTCCAGTATACGTATTCGTGAGGCATTTAGTTATACTATACACAGCCGGACACAGCGGTCAGTGAATGTATTATTATTAAGCCTAATTTTAAACCTGTTATTGCTATCATGCAATGTTTTGACTCTGTTTGGCGGTGGTATTTAATTAATAATAATAGCAATAAATTTGAAAAACATACACGGGAGCAAATTGATTCAGATTATCTTGCTTACAGAAAGCATTTACACGAGATAAGTTTGCAAACGGCTTTTCCGGGTCGAAAGTTCCGGATTTAGACTCTACCTGTGGCTGTGATCATTTTCTATCGGATTCATGCGCATTAGTGTAAACGGCAAAACGAATCCGATATAAAAACACCTCAGATTCGTAACGAATCCGAAAATGTTTGCTCAGCGCCACAATCAGCGCCCTGGTTTTTGCTCTAGTGTATTAATTAAACGTGGTCTAAGTATTTAATGACAGCTTGAGGTATAATATACGGTAATTACTGCAATAAAAATATCCGGCTTCCCTCAATACCGCTTTGTTTGATATTTACATTGTACATGTATAGACTATATATATTTTGTTTGAAATGTCTGGGAAAATAAAAATACATAAATTTAATACATGAATTATAAATAGTTTTACCAATGTAATTCATAAAATACTTGCAATATTGGTTTTGAAATAAATTATTAATAGAAACGTAGGTTCGATATCGGAACATTTACACCCAGAATTAACTTCGTCAGTGTTAACTATATGAGAAACGTAACTGGTGTGCAGCAAAAATACTTAACTACCGCAAAACTTTTTTCATTTCGACAGTAATTTGTTGGAATTTCGACACAAATATATGTTGCATACTTGGGGAATTCCCTATACGACTATTGCCCTTGTGTCGAAACCCTGCATGTATTAAGAATGCAATTAATTAATTATCATGTCAAAACATATCATAAGCCCTTTCCATGACCATATGGGTTTACATTCGTTCGTAAGCATTTTATATGGGCTTATGTACGAGTGTACGTGCTTATACTTATATACGATACTTGAATACGGATCAAAGGGTGTTCAAATCAAATGATCGTGGTGTTTACCACAAACCTAGAACATTTTTAAATTTTCAATTTGGCGGCTTGAACTTGCATGAAGAGGCCGAGTTTCAGCGAAATATATTGTATATGCCGCTCATTTTAGACAATGTTAGACCATTTTATATATAGAAACATTTTTAACTTAATTTTTTTAATAAAAGTGCGTAAAAAGAGTGCATAAGACGAATTAAAATGTCTTACTCGCAGGGGCGCCGGAATATCGATAATTGGAAGGGCAGATATTCATATATTCGTGTTCTGCCCAATTAATTTCTTTTGAAATTGATTGTTTTTACAGTCTGTGAACACGAACTATGAATATCTGCCCCCGCAATTATCGATATTCCGGCGCCTCTCCTTACTCGAATCGATCAATGTTGTCTTTTATGGCTTCGACAAAAACAATGTCAGTAGAAAATAACTATGAATCGTAGTTTATCAGTATCAACAGTATTAACAGTATTAAAAAGATTATTTTTTCGATTGTATAGAAATTAAACGTAGCCTCTGTACGAACAATGGACGGTCATGTTGGTGGGACTAGTCATGTCATGTTCTTAGGTAAATTTGAAAACAGCAAAAAGTACAAGGAACAAATATTGCAAGAAATTATAATTGCTGTCTGTGCTATGCTGAATAGCAATGGTGGAAAAGTGGTGGTACATATTGATACTGATAGCAACATCCCAGTAGAAGGTTTCCCTTTCTCCCAAATGTCATTGGTGATTCGAATACTAGAACAATCTATGATATCCATCATTGGAGTACGCCAGACGATCTTGAAAATTAATTTCAAAGAAGATAAAGATAACGATGAAGAAAGTATAATCATTTTCGTCCAAAAATGTGATTTTTTAATCACAACTAATTATAACCTTTATTTACCAAGTGAAAAACAAGTTGTACTGGTATCTCCTCTAGAACCACCAGAAAATATCAAGGACGATATCATCAACAGAAAAGTCGTTTTGAAACCAGTCCAACTTGGCTCACATTGTCAAATATTTCGTGAAGATAAAAATTGTAGTTCTCAAGAAAACAAAACGGTTCAGTTCAAAAATTTACAAGCAGGTCAGTCTAAACGTACCACGCTAGCAGATCGCATGACTGGTAAAGGTAATAAATTCAGTTGCTATGTTTCAGCGTTTGCCAACTATAACGGAGGTCACATTTACTATGGCATCAGAGATGATGGAGTTGTTAAGGGAGAGTTGATTCCAAATGAGAACGACAAGAATGGCATAATAAAGAAAGTCGAGAAAACCATCAACAAGATGATCTGGCCTGAGCAGATTGGTCAACCAAAACGAGGAGAACACTGGGATATATTCTTCGAGCCAGTGAAAGATGAAAACTTCAAACCTATCCCATCAACTTTTGTGATCGTGATCTATATTGCTCCTTGTCTGGGTGGTGTGTTTCCTGAGGAACCAGAATGTTATGAAATGGTGGAGGGAGAAGTTAAGAAGATGTCGTTTGCTACTTGGAGAAAAGGAATATTACATCCATTTCGGTTGCGTAGCAGGGACGAAATCTCGCCTTCAGTTCAACGCGTTGCTTGGAGCTCAGCTGAGGCTCGGAAGATTTTCACTGTTGGCGATGCAGGTGAAAAATTAAGGCAATTAATTAATAATGGTGATTGGAATGCCTTTTTGAAAGAGTGTCAAATTCTTCAGAGAAAATCTCAATCATGCGTGATGAAGTTATTGGTTTTGTCCAAACAAGTCATCGCGTGTTGCCGCAGAGGTAGTTTCAGTGAAGCACGTGCCTTTCTCGAACAGTACAACGCCATTTTATCGCAAGCAGAAGATCGTTTGATTTTCGAGGTGATGGGATTGTACTTACAAGCAGCTTTAAAACGTGCAAGTGGAGATTTTAAAGCACTCGGAGAACTATTGACTGAAGCTTTGTCCAAGGCAGAACTGATTGAACCAGGCCTGGTAACAGCAATACTATACGTTTTTGCTGGAACTGTAAGTGACCTGGTAAATTCAGGAGACCCAACAAAGAAATTTTCACCGGATGTTCATTCAATAAGAGCTCTGGAACATTTACGGTGTGTCCCAGATCAATCCAAAGTCCTTGAAGATATGGAGCAGAAGATACATGTAACTTTGGCCACATTTTATCTTGGCTGTAATATAAGTGGACAGCTTATTAAGGGTAATGTAGACATTTCAAGTTTAAAAAAAGCGAAGATTAGCATATCAGCTGTACATCAATCCACTTACGAAGGACACCCACTGAGTTGGTATCGTGAAGTTCAGCTCAATTTGGTACTGTCCCTCTATAATTATCGACATTCACAAGTCAGTCCTGGCGAAAGAGTTCGCTTTTTGCGCAATGCCTTTGACTACGCCAAGAAAGCTGAATGTCTTGCAAAAGATCATCAGTTCACGGAAATGCATGAATGGAGTAAGGCTACCGAAGCATTGTGCACGGAAGAACTAGTGCGCTCGAAATTTGCCAATTGCCGACCGATTCAACCAAAATAGACTGTACGAGTTAAAACTCTGAGGCTGGGTTTGCAATTCAGCATATTTCATCTGTATGTACTGTACGAGTACTGTTCATATAAGCCAGTCTGTCCCATCAAATAGTGAATAGTAATAGTACTAGTAATAGTCAATAGTAAAATAAATATATAAAAACTACGAGGGAAACGTACATTATTAACCATATTAGAGAGGTTCAAATTTGACTTCCACTACCACTACCGCTCCGCTAGTACTAACCAATCAGATGCGTTTCATATATCTGATTAACCAATCAGTTGCAGACTAAGCCAGTGAGAGGTAATGGTAGCAGAAGGCAAATCTCGACCTCTATATTATCACGAGCGCGCCGCTTGTATAATGAAATCAGGGCGCTTATATATAAGAACAGTCAGACACTGTGTTTACCGCCAAATGGAACGCAAATGTCAATTGAAAACATCGTTCCGCAATATTTAGTTTAATGTCAAGTAATATACCAGAACAAAGTAGAAATTCAATTTGTTGGTGTATTGTCTATTGAATGACTTGTTTTTACCTAAATGTGTTCAACGTCGGGATCACTATAGACTAAAGGCCCTGTTACACGGTGCAATTTTTCATGCAACTTGTCTCGCAATGTTTATAAAAAGATTTTGATAATGCATTGCAAGAGGTGTTACACGCTGCAATGATTTCCATGCAACTCGCAACGATAGGGGACAGAGGCATGCGAAGAGACTAGGGAGAGGCGCTATTTGGCGCCAAATTTTAATTAAAATAAAGCGTGTACTGGGGAGAGCCAATAGGAACTCTCCAAGCTATAAACATTGCGAGACCAGTTGCACGAAGCCATGTTACACGCTGCAACGCTTAAAATAATTAGTGCAATCGTTGCCAAAAGTAGAACCGACTTCTACTCTCTGCAATGCTTCATGCAACTTGTCTCGCAACGATTTTGAAAATTACAAGGCATGTTAAACGGTGCAATGACTCGTGCAACTTGTCTCGCAACGCCATTGCGAGACAAGTTGCATGAAAAATTGCACCGTGTAACAGGGCCTTAAGAGGGCCTCTCAGTAAAATCCACCCACTGGTTTGGGGAAGGAAAAATAGATTTAGCTCATATTTTGCATATGAACTAGACTTTGGTCAATATTAATGGAGCTTCTTTCAGAACGTTTCAACTTTCTGTTTTATAGGAGTTATAGCCCATGTTGAAATTTGACCTTGCGAGAGTATTTTCAGACCGGAAATGAAGGGGAATTTTACAAGAATTCAAATGATTTTTTAAAAACGTTGTGATGCATTTATCCCCTGCAGTTACTGTTTACATGCAATATTAACACTAATACTCTCGTTTTCATGGAGATTGAACAACTTTTTTTGCTTAATACGATTTTTATATAGCTTTACGAAACTATGTTTTCAAGATGGCGGCGGGAGGCTGAAAATTGGTCATATTTTACTTAAAATAGCTCAAAAGTGGCACCTATCTCAAGTTCAAAAGGCATGTAATTTGAAATTATACCTACTAAAGTTAAGTAATCAGGAATAAAACTCGTCTGCAAACAATTTTCTGAAAAGTTATAAATCTCCAAATTGGGCCTATTTTTAGCTGTTTGTTTACATTCGCGTGTTCGCTGATCAGCGACACTAATAATTAATTGAAGAGTTAAAATAAGCTCATTTATTATCCAGTAAACTTTCTTAGCTTGTTCAGAAGAATATTTACAATTTTGTGAAAATATAATTACAATATATACGAGCGATCGTGTACAGAACATTCCCGAATTCGAATTGCTTTACATTTACACTACTTACAC